TTCCTACCTACCCTAACTTCCCCCAATCTACCTTACTCCCCCCACTACCTACCTTACCCCCACTGCCTACCTACCTCTCCCAGCCCTACCGAGCTCCTCACCCTACCACACACAAAACAAAGTAATGTTACAGCTCATTTAGTCCCCACAGTGGTGAGGGGGAGCAAGGGGCGGCTCAGTTTGAACCACTTCCATGAAATAGTTACTATCCTGGAAATCCTTCATCTTGCAAGGGCTGCTCCGTCCAAGGTCAAGGAAGCAGACAGCTGAGGCTTCCAGAGAGCGATGCATTCAGTTCAGCCAGAGGCAGCAGACAGCCAGGTGGGTCCCTCACCATTAGCCAGATCACGGGACCCAACCATCCCAAGCTCAAGCAACCCTGACCCTGAGCCCGAACCCGAACCCTAACCCAACCCTCACCCTAACCCCTAAACCCTATGCCCTAACCCTAGACCCTAGGCTAAGGTGACCAGATTTTAACATTGCTAAAGCGGGACACCATTGATAAAACTCATATCCTGGCAAAATAGCCACATGGTAGCTGAAAACCGTATACCCTAGTCCTGCATTCTTTCCAAAAATTGGGACTTTTTAAAAACGCTACAGGACACAGGAGAAATTGTTAAAAATCAGGACTGTCCTACCAAAAGCGGGACGTCTGATCACCTTACCCTAGGCACTAGCCCAACCCTAGCCCTATCCCTAACCCTAAAACCCTAACACTAAACCTAACCCCAAACTCCTAATCCCTAAACAATGTAAACCCTAAATAACCCTAAACTGTCAACAACCCTAAGACCTTACCCTTAGACCCTAGCCCCCATATCCTGAACCTGATGCTGACCCTAACTAAGCCCTATACCTAACCCTGAACCCTAACCCTAAACCTTAAACCCTAACCCCAACCCTAACCCTTCCTTTGGGAAGCCAGAGGAGGGGAGAGATGGTCTCCACAGTATATTCGTAGGGCCTGTAAGTTGACTGACAGCTGTCAGTGAAGTATGTGTGGATCAGTCACTGCTGAGTGTGGCTTCTCCCTGCCTCTGGAACACCTGAGAAAGAAGAACACATGCTGAACCCGTGTGAATGTCAGTAGAGCTACTGCTCCACAGTGTGCTGGGCTGCTCAGAAGCAGAGTGTGAGAACTGCATGCGGAAGCACATTCCGACGGGGACACCAGCCTTTCCAGATGAAGGCTGTCATGAGAACTGCAGTGACACAAAGCGTGCCGCAGGCTTTCCTTCTAGCCTCTTGAAGCAATGTTTGACATTTCCAGTAGCAAATCGACCCTTACCCAATTCATAGTGAAAAAGTTAAAATTTGAAACCAAAGAAATGTAATGATGGGCAAACAGCAATATTGCAAATCAACTCGAGATGGAATCAGTATTCTAATGCATGGTTTAGGAAACTGTGGACACATGTTATCAAGTGTGAACAAAGGGAAGTAGATTATAAAATGGCACTTACCCATTGATCACAGTCATTTGACAGAATATTCACATATGCAGACAATGACGTGGAAAATGTAAAATATTCGTAGGCCACCAACAATTTTCTCCATTTAAAAGTTGCCTATATGATGGCAACATGTTTAAATATGCTTGATACAATTAATGTATGGATTGTTATAAGAGTTGTAAGAGCCCCCAATAAAATCTTCTAATTTAAAAAAGTTTTCTATAATAATATTCTAGTTTTAGTTAACAGAAATGAAGATGGATGTGGTAGTTACATAATCTGTTGTCAATTGTCAATTTGAGACTTGAATGTAGGGGTGGAGTTTAGTCTGTCAATCAGGTAACAGCTTGATGACCTCATTTGGAGGCGCTGAGATACATAGCTCATTGGAGGTGGGGCACAAGAGACAATACTGATGCCGAGCCTGATGGAGCTGCCCTGATGCAGCCAGAGCCCTGGCGCCACGTGGAGACCCATGTCAGCACTGAGATGCGCCCACTGCCACTGGATCTATAAGACTTTCTACCCACTGGCCTGTGATCTTCCTGTATCCGGCAGTATTTCATGGCTGTGTGAGTCTAAAGAGGAATTTATTGACTGGTATTGGACATATGGGCTAATATTGGACTTATGGACTTGATCTGGACTGGGCTGGGATGTTTTCTCAATGCTAAATTGCTCTTATAGATAAAGCTCTTTTCTATACACATATATGTATTTATAAATTTGTTTCTCTAGTCTACCCAGACTAACACAATGGATAAACAAACTCAAACAGGTATGCTCTTACCAGGATGATGCTTTCAGGAGAATTAATATTGTCCTTGCAGTTATTAGAAATCTTTCCTTTGGGGGACTGGGGCACAAACTTCATAAAAGTCATAAACTATAAATGATAACATGACAATGTTGTTCACTGGCAATACACTGACTATGATGACAAGGAAGTACATGCCCCCCAGAAGCCTAGCCTTTCAAAGGACTCAGCACGTTATCAAAGGTGCATGAAAGCGGTGAGAGCTGGAGCTTGACGGCTGCCTTGCCTTTCAGAGTCCTGCCAGTTCCTCATCTTTGCCAGGGTACAGCAGCCTTACCACGTTTCCACTGCTCATTTCAGTGGAACATACTTGAGTTTTCCTTCTCTGACAAGGTGCCACCTTACACAGCTTTCATGGGCTTTACAGTAATTTCCACCCGAGGACTTACACTTGAGGCTGCGAGCAGGAAAAAGAGCGTTGAAGGCAAGAAGACTTACTATGAAGGACGTTTTCGTGATGAGAAAAGGACCAAACTAGAAGACATATAAAAACCACAGTACTGGGGCCGGCCCCAATCCCAACTACTACGTGGACACCTTCCCCTCCCCCCAGAATTTATTTCAAAGGATGGCATTGAATCTGCAGCTCCAGGAGGGGGACATATCTGATCAGAGCACATGGGAGCAGATGAAGGGGGAGGAGGAGAGAGTGGAGCACATCCTGGCCCACCAAGCCTTGAGGACGATGTTCCCAATTAGAGCAGCCAGTCCACAGAGAGGACCACATGGCCGGCCCCACTATGAGACATGATGCCCCTCACTGACCCATAGCCCTACAGGGGACAACACCAGAGACACAGTGTGGGA